CAGAGTCAAGGAGACGTTGCTCGGCAAAAGTCATCCAATTATTTTGACATTGTGCAAGGCTCGAAGCCAGGCCAACGCAGCCAACACGTAGCCCACAGCTGTTGAAGTGGCTTGAGTCAAGTTGTTGTTGCTCGCATCTGGAATGGGGCGTGGCAGTGGCAGCGGCGGCGGCAGCGGCACGCCTGCCCCACAGATAGCTAGTTACAAGCGAAGCACTTAAGCGCACTGTGCACCATGCGCACAGTGTCTCGCATATCGATGCGCACGGGTCGGAATGAAATAGCGAATAGCAGATGCCAGCAATTATCATAGAGCAGATAGCAGATAGCAGCGGCATCGAGCAAGGCTTGCTGTAATTATGTCTGCTCCACCTTAGAGTCAACCAATCGAAAGCAAAGTAATATAAAAATGGAAAACACCTGGACTGGCGGCAATTCCCAGGGCCCACTGTGCCCAGGCTCTGACACTGGAGACTGCGCTGCGAGTCTAGCATCAAGCGATAGTGGCTAGAAGCAGATAGAAAGAGAGACAGGGAGAGGGAGCGGGAGAGGAATAGAGCAAAATACATGCATATAAAATGCAAATAAAAAAGCAGATACTAAAATTGTAATATCCGCACAGGAACGCAGTGAGCGCTGGCAAACGGGCGGCGAATATAAAATATACAACAGAAAAAAAAGAGAAGCTAAAAACTACAAAAAAAAAGAAAAAGAAGGAAACCTTTTGGCCTATCCCTGCACACACACACACACATGCATATGTCTGTCTGTATGTGTATTTGCCCTGGCGTGGGAAACAACAAAGAATTGTGAAACGCGGTCGCCTCTGCCGACAGTTGGCGTTCTTTTTGGGGCTGGGCCCCGAGGTATGGAACCGGTCCAGCCGGGAGTTGGACCTGAACCTGGACCTGGGCCTGAGCACTCTGTCTGCTTGCCTGCCCACCATGCTCACCCGTGCTTAATCCCGCTTCAGCGCCAGCTCTGCTGGCTAATGAAGCAATGAAGCCTAGCGCTGATATTTGTTCTATGCATGCGAGAAGCGCTTGAATGGACCACCGGCTGACTGAGTCACTCAAACTGCCTCTCTCTCGCTCTCTCTGAAATAACATTGGCCACACTTGGCTGGAGCTCTGTCTAATTCAATCAGCATGTCCGCTTTAGACATTCGAGTTGTCAAAGCTTGATGTGTGACTGTGAAAAACCTTAGACTAATGAAATTTTCATGTTACATTGGCCAAAAGCATTTGCCAAGTCCCACACAATAATCAGGTGCCTTATTAATGCTACCAAAAAGCAGAGAGATGGGGAGAGTGGCGGGAAGAGGGGGAGAGCTGTGTGAGCGGAAGAGACCCAAATTGCAATTAGTTTTGCACAGCATATGAAACAACAAACAGTGTGTGTGTATATGTGTTTGTGTGTATGTGTGTGTGTGTGTGTAAGCTGTGTTGTAGTTTTGAATATGCCCTCAGGCAGAGATATATCATTATACACACATACATATACATATATATACAATATACTATATATACATATGTGTATGTGTGTATGTATGCACACCAGCCCGTGGCTGACTCTGTTGCGTGTGGGCTGTGTATAGGTCTGTATGTGTGTGTGTGTGTGTGTGTGTGTGTGTCTATGAAAACCTCAACTTAATTGCTCGCATTAGGCCAACAAAGCAGCTGCAATAATATTAAGTATACGCAGCGTTAACTCAGTCAAAGTCTCCTCGTCACAGTCTCAGCAAATTTCCTGCCAACTTGTTGCTTAGCATTTTATAACAATCTTAATAGAAGAACATTTACATTTCAATTAGCATTTTCATTCTTCATTTTCAATTCAGCTTTCTGCGAAAGAGCAGACGACTTGAAACTTGACGCATAGAGGCGAATAAGATAGAATAGTTGAGGCATAGCATCTGCTTCTTAAACTTATTCATTTGATACTTTTTTGTATCTACAAAGTTTACTCATTGTATTACTTAGCTGCAGATAGTGCAGTAAGTAGCGTGTCTAAAGCTCGTTTCTACTTGAGTGTTTTATATTAATTCATTAATGACAATTATTATTAAGTCATAAATTGTGGAAATATTAAATGTGAATTTTAGAGCATATTGTTTTTGCTAAAATGAATGTAACAAAGCGAAGTAGACAGGTGAATATGTATATATATAAATATATTCTGGATCAAAAGCCACAGCTGAGGGACTCTAATTTCGTGCCATGTTCCATAGACGATATAAATATAGCTAACATAAATTGGGCAAATTTTATGTTGAGGTAGCTTTAATTCTGTACTTTTTGAATATCCGTGCACTTTCCCTGCAAAAGCAAAGAATACAGTGCCAACAGGGCATCTACGAGTCGTGCACTCCCAACTAGAGCCCTTTTACTTTGCCACTTCTTTAGGCTATCTACAAACAATTTACGAATTGACTAATGCCTAGCATCTGCACAACTAATAGCAGCATGTTAGCATATCATATAACACATTTATATATATTATACATATATATATACTCCCTGATATATATCTGCCCCATGTGCACTCTGGCGAACAATTTCGCCGCTCAATTAGCAATTAATGTGCGAATATCTGCGGCCATCAACGCATTTGCTAGCCGCTGTGTGTTAATTATTAAATGCAGACAGAGATAGGGATAGAGAGAGAGAGAGAGAGAGAGACAGAGAGAGCGTGAAGCGGGGTCAGTGGAGGGGTCGATGGCCCATTCCAAAGGCATCATTTGGCCACATTTCGAAGTGGATTAGCGGAAAGGATAATGGTTGAAGGGCTGCGCCGTTTCCTACTGTTAAGTGCATTCCCTCTGTGCTGTCTGTGGGCACACGAATTGCAGGCACTGTTCATAATTAATTGATCAATAACAAGGCTATTGTTCTATGGCAATTGATTAGCTCGCTCACACTCCGCTGCCGCATATGCTGCGCAATTATCGGCGGCAATTGACAAATGATTAGCTGGCCAAATACGCAGCTTGTTCCTGTTGCTATTGTTGATGTTGTTGTTGTTGTTGTAGCTGTTGCTGTTGCTGTTATGGCAGCTGTTGGCAATGTTTATTTGCAGCGCAGCCAACAAAATCGCAAGAAAGCTAATTAAAAAGGGGTAAGCTCTGACGCATCAAAGGCCATTAGCCGATAAAGAGCCAGTGAGTTGGACAGCGAGACAGAGGGAAGGCACAGCAAGACAGTCAGCCGAAGCCAAGCCCAAAAATGAACCCAAGGCTGAGAACGGAAATGCTTTGTACAGCAACAACAATAGCGGGAGCAAGAGGAAGAGCAAGAGCAACTCGCGTGTTGCGATGAGTATTAAAAAAAAAAAATGAACTGAGTGAGTGCTTAGGCTGAGCATGCTCGACTGGCAACTGCCCTGCACTGAGCTGCTTTTGGCATGAGTAGTTGTTGAGAGGCGCAGCTAATGATATTTTGTGAGCTATCAGAGATGGCAACAATTTGGGTGGAGTGAGAAACTCTTTAGAGTGCAATACAATAATGGAATAAATAAAATAATATTTTCTTAATCAAGCTAGAAAGAGATATAAAGACAATGGAAAAGAGAAAATAATATATATCTGAAATATGCACATTATTAATAATACATATTTATATAGCTCAAATAGTAAACGAGACTGAAAAATTTATGCAGACAGACAAAGGGCAGGATGAACTGATGAGCATGGCTAGAGCTATTCACCTATAGCTATAACCATGCTACATAACATATATAGTATATAACATATATAGTATACATAGCGTACACCTTACCCACGCCTACTTACGCCTGTTACACAAAACTCATATACCCTCTTCAAGCACTTTCAGTGTAAGTAGGGTATCATAAAAAAACACTACCCAGGCTGAAATGTTTTTCGCCTTTGTGGTTTCTTGTTGTCATTGTTGTTGTTGCTGTTGCTGTTGCTGTTGTTTGGCCAATTAACAAAAAGATTGACACTTTTATTTAAAAACCAAGTCGTTGGCCATAGAAAACAACAGATTGCAATTTAGAATTTGCCACGCTCTGCGAGCAGCTGGCAAAAGCGAGGCAAACAATCGGCAGATGAGATGAGACAGAGACAGAGGTCAAATTCTATAGAAGCTTAAATGTATATATATAGAGTGGGGATTTGTAAGCTGCGATAATAACGTGCCACCAGCTCGTGTTGCAAGTGTGTCTCTCTCTCTGTATGTGTGTGTGTGTGTCTCTGTCAGGTGTATCGCTTGCCAATCAATAATCTAATGCCTCACAATATCCACTCAGACAGCTCGCGCTGACACTTTGACAGATTATTTTGAGCAATGCTGTGATTAGCATACGAGTCGAGGTAGCTGAGAGGGGGAGCGCAAAATACAACGATTTGATTGTTGATTGGCTCAACGATTCGATACGATTGATTGATCGCAAAATTGGGCATGGAGACTGACGATAAATGAAACAAAATAAGTTCAAATTAAGCATTTGTCAAGCCGGCTAAAAAGTAGACAGATTATTTCTTTTTGTGAATGGGCAAAGTGAAGTCGAGTCGAGTGCAATGAGTGGCTCATTAGTCAAGCGAATGAATGCGGCAAAGCTTTCCCAGTTAAGATGATTTCCATAGAGAACAAAAGCAACTCTTTTATTGATTTGATTTGGCAAATATCACACAAATAATAGAAAATCTGTTAGCTCTCTCTCTCTCTCTCTCTCTCTCTCTCTGTCTCTCTACCTGCACATAATTTTGATTTAATTAACTAAAAGCATCATGAAACAATAGCAGCAACTTTTGCCTTAACGACCAACAACAGCCAAACGGTAACAAATCCCAGGCAGGTCATTAAGTCAGCATTGCCAAATCCCAGCAGGGAGAGAGAGAGAGAGAGAGAGGCAGAGAGAGAAAGGACTTATGGCTAGGCAGCACTCCAATAACAGAGTGATTAAATTTTACTACCATGTCGAACAAACAAATAATAAGAACACTTCTCCCCCTCTCTGCGCCCCTCTGTGCCTTTGCAGATCACGTCGTGGAGCTGGCCGAGCAGTCGGAGAACAAGACATTGAATGTTTTCTCGCAGGTTTACAGGCGCATGGAGCCGTTATCCCGGATGCTCATACAGCAGCTCTACACGGAAATCATCAAGTATGTTGTGTGTCTGTGTGTGTTTGTGTGTGGTGCCTGAACTATTTACTCAACTTTCTCGCCCATCCCCTGCTCCCTTTGCAGCCACTTGAAGTACACGTCGAACTACAGCAGCAATAATGGCCAGGGCAATAGCATTTTGAATAGCCAGAGCAGCCTGGAGAGCGCACTGCACAAGTTCTTTGAGAATCTGTTCCCCGTTGCCTACCACCAGGCGGTGCATCTGACCAAGGACAATTATGGCGAGCTGCACGATGACTACACCAACTGCCTGAAGCACAACTATGATGATTTGCAGCCCTTCGGCCAGATACCCAAGGAAATTCAGACCAATCTGGTGCACAGCGTTCACATGTCCAACATCTTTATGAGCGCCCTGCTCCAGAGCGCCAAGGTGCTCAGCGAAACGGATGCTCTGTATGGCAAGCAGCTGACGGAAACCTGCAAGCTGCATCTGCTCAAAATGCAGTACTGCCCCAACTGCAACGGGCACACGGAGCACAACAGGCCAAAGGTCTGCTACAGCTACTGCATGAACGTGATGCGGTAAGTGTGGGGGCACAGCTCTCAATCCTCGCCTGTTGCTCATGGTCCGCATGTTTGCTTTACAGCGGCTGCTCGGCTCAGTACTCGGGCTTGCTGGACGGTCCCTGGGCCAGTGTGGTCGAGGGCCTCGACAATCTGGTGGCTGGCCACATACGCTCCGAGAGCGGCATCATGAACACCATCAAGCAGCTGGACACCAAACTCTCGGAGGCCATAATGAGAGCCATGGAAAATGGACCGGAGCTGGAGAAGAAGGTGAGTGGGTTGAACTGAGGTGATGCTGTATAGGTGAGATGTTTGGTAGAGGATTCGATGTGAAGGATGATTATTTGATGAAACTATATTCATCTTTATCAAATTGAGAGGGTATTGATTATGATTATGATAGCTTGCAAATTACTTTTGAGCGTTTCTATATGACTGCATATAAATGTCTTTTACTGATAATCTGTGAGAAAACTGAGTGAGCAACCGATTGCATCGGCTCTTCAACGAGCTCGTTCCCGATTAGACAGAAACCTTTTATGAAGCGAATCGTCTCTTGCGTATGTATTGGTATTGCATGTGAAGTTTACTGAGTCCCACTGAGAGAACGTCCAACGTATCTCTCCCAAAATGATGTTCGGTAAAGAAGTGTCCGACCCGAATAGTTCAGCAGTAGAAGTATAAAATAACCGAAGTACATTGCTGAGAGAGAGAGAGAGAGCGAGTGAACATGTTCGGCTGACGAACAGAGCTTCGCGAACAGAGCGTAAAGCAACGAACGATCAGCTGATATTTGTAGAGTTCCGAGCTAGGAGAAGACTTAGTCGACACCATCCTCAAAGCTTTTTATTTTTTGTATATTTAGATTAAGTTGTCTGCTACCTCTTAGCAGAACATTGATCTTTAAATATTTCATCACAGAAAATACTAAAAATAAAAGTCGAATAAATTCTTTTAACTAGTTCTTAAACGAGTTTCCAGTAATCTGACATATCAAATGTAGAGTCACTTCGAATATGAAATTAAAAAAGTTTATAGGACTTCAGTACCCACTAAAATCTGATATACGTCCTCAGTAATCATTGCCTTTACTTCACATCTGATCCAGGACATGTTATTACATATCTGCCCTGTTTATGAACTCTGAGTGGCATTCAGAAATCAGCTTGAATGCACTGCAGCTGCAAAATGAGCCCATGTCAAGTTTCAATTAAATTCATACCCATTCGTTCACATAAATACACACATACATGCGCACACGTTCCACTTGTATTAAATTTAAACCATAATTACAATATTTAACATGTGAAGTGCTCGCATTACGAAAAGTATTTCCTCTTTGATGTGACAAGAGCGTGCGTGCTGCGCTGCAGCACAAGGACGTTAATTGCGGCTTAATTTATGAACATTTTAAATTAATTTTATGAGCGGCCTTCGAGCGGATGCCCGAATAGCAAATACCGAATGCCAAATGCCACCAATGCAGCCAATGCAGCGTGCAACCAGTTTCTGGAGTGCTGCGAGTTCGCAACGGATTTAAACTGTTCAATTAGATGACATTTATTCAGCGAGTCGGCAACGTGCAGCAAGTTGCAATTGACATGCAACGGCACGAGTTGCAGCTGAGCCCTGCTGGGGCATGGGGCAGACGATTGGCGTGGGGCACAGGAAATGCAGCTGAGCATGCGAACCAAGCTAAACCCATTCTCCACTCTCCCTCTCTCTCTCTCTTTGCAGGTGAAGAAGACTTGTGGCACGCCCAATCTGCTGCCCTCGCTGACCGCCGCCGAGACGCAGCCGCTGCAGCAGCATGTGAGCATCAAGTGGGCAATGTCGCCAGAGGCTAGCATTCTGCACTTCCTGTCAACCATACAGAAGTCCAAGGACTTCTTCACCAACATCGTCTTCAAGTAAGTCAACTAACAATAACAACAAAAATAAACATAATTTTAAGCGGTAAATGATATAAATATATTTGGAGTTTAATGTGTGCGGATGTCTGTACGCTGCATCTGGTTTTCCATACGGTAAAATCTGCCCAAGACTGCTTCAAAGCGCTGGCAACGTCTCCGAGGCCGATTCACTTGCCAATGGAGAACTTATTGTTAACGTCGCGCAGCACATTGAGGACATCCTTAAGCAGGCACACGTAAAGCGGCGAGAAAATCGCAATAAAGAATATAATATTGGACAAAATACAATTCTTCACAATGGGACGACAGCCGGTCTAAGAAAGACAGAGATAGATAGAGAGAGAAGACAATTATTTAATAACATTTATGTAAAGGACTTGCACTTACTCCACGCGCTGCAACGGCCAAAGGACGAACAAGGCAAAAGTTATGCGCAACATTGTGCACATATGTAACAAGTTCCTTGAACATTTTCAGGCTCTGAGCTTTTAAAATATTTGATGTAAATGGATTTTAATGAGACTTGATGGAAATTCAAAATTTTTGTAGTTTTTATAAATGTTGCTTTAAGTTTGACGTGCCAAATGGGATTGAGCGCAGCTAGCTCAGTGGGGGAATTTCTCTCCAGATGTGAAGTCAAAGCTAACTGAGTTTTCGTTTCAGCTTCTGTGACGAGGACTACACACAGAGCAGCGATCATCTCTGCTGGACCGGAGATCGGGTTGGCGACTACACACAGCTGTTGATAATGCCCGGCGAGGACAGGCAGCGCTACAATCCTGAGGTGCCCTGGGAGAACCAATCGCAGCTGACCAAGCTCAACGAGCTGGTGGACAAACTGCAGAAGATACGCAAAACCATCGGCGTGACGGTGAGTGTAGAGTCGAGTCGATAGAGCCTATATGAATATTAATTCTAATCGTTCTTCTAGGCGCCTGTCAGCAACAATCATGACATTCAGAGCGACATGGGTCACGAGGGCTCCGGCGGTGGTGGTGGCGGCGGTGGCGTTGGCGTCGGCGGTCACATCAGCGACGACGAGGAGGAGTACAGCAGCATGCACGGCTCGGGCGATGGCTCCGGTGATGGTAGGTTTATTGCACAGCCCCGATGATTCCCTTAGAAATTACTGAAAATCTATTGCCCTTTCAGGTCCCATCTCGCACACCGATGACCCACTGGGCAGCACGCCCAACACCTTCGATGGCGAGTCGCGCGACAACTCAAAGGGCGCGTCGAGCGCGCTGACGGCCACTGCGACAAGCCTGCTTCTCACACTAGTCACACTCTATAGTAGTTGTAGTTAAAGCAGCACCCAAATCCCAAAAAGAATATAACAATGAGAAATATATATAAATAAAAAAAAAATATA